TATATATATATATATATATATATGCCTTCGGCTGCAGGCTTTAGGGCCTCTTACTAGGGTTTAGGGTTTAGGGTTTAGGGTTTGTGTCTGTGCAGGAGCGGCGCGGCATCCCCTCAAAGAAACCCCCACCAGATTACTTCCTCTGAGAGATGCAAACGAGGGGGCCCCTTCGGCTCTATATAAGCATTTGGGGGCCCCCTGGGGGGCCCCCAAGGGGGCCCCCAAGGGGGCCCCCAGGGGGCCCCCAGGGGGGGCCCATAAATATATTATAAACCATTGGGGGCCCCTTGGGTACGGCTGTATAAACCCTTGGGGGGCCCCTTCGGATATATTTAAACATTTGGGGGGCCCCCTGGGTACAGTATAAACAATTTGAGGGGCCTCGGCCTATCTAAACATTTTGGGGGCCCCCTGGGTATTGTAATACCCTTTGGGGGCCCCTTGAGCACATTGATTACTCTTGGGGGCCCCCTGAGTATGTTAATACCCTTGGGGGCCCCCTGGGTGTATGAGTACCCTTGGGGGCCCCCTGGGTGTATGAGTACCCTTGGGGGCCCCCTGGGTGTGTGAGTACCCTTGGGGGCCCCCTGGGTATAGCAATACCTTTGGGGGGCCCCCCGGGTATATTAACAATACCCTTTGGGGGGCCCCTCGGATAGAGGCCCCCTGGGTATAATACTAAGACATTTGGGGGCCCCCCTAGCTTGTAGGGGGCCCCTCAGTCTCTTGGTGTCTCCTCATTCATGGGGGGCCCCCTCGGTGCTTGGGGGGCCCCCTGAACGCGTGTGCGGGCCCCTCTGTCCGTGGGGGCCCCCTGATCACTTGCGGGGGGCCCCCTTTGGTTTGGGGGGCCCCGGGGGTCTTTTGCTGTCTCTGGATTTTTTGGGGCCTTTGAATATCATAAAGGAGACTGGGGGGCCCCCAAGGGGGCCCCCGCAGGGGGCCCCCCAGGGGCCCCCCTGAGAGGCCGGTAGGGTGGGGGCCTAGGCGGGAGGGGGGCCCCGCCCCTCAGCGTCTCCTAGAGCAGCTTGGGGGCCCCTGCTGCTGTTGCTGCTGCTGTTGCTGTTGCTGTTGCTGCTGTTGTTGCTGCTGAGA